TAAATCAAAATCACAAATAAAATTAAATGAAAGGCAGCAAAGAAGAAAAAAATCTTACATCTGCCCCTTTTTTCCCAAGAATAAGTTCATATAATAAAAATCTGTATTATTAACAAAACAAAAAACAAGAACATCTAATCCCTCTAGAACAGTTTAAATAGATACATTAAACTATTTCGTATTTCTTCAACAATCCAACTTTTATCATTTTCTGATATCATTTTTCTTTAACTTCAGCTGCTGAATGTCTCTAAAACCTTTTTAACCTAATGTAGCTTCATATTTTATTGTTGCATTGTACTAAAAAACAGGTTTGTAAAGATTGAAGTTATGCAGTCAGTTACTCAGGCCAACGTTTATGTCAGTTTATATCAGTAATAAAAGCAGCGCTGCACAGCGGATTTATTGCTGATTATTTTGATGAGTATCAGTTAAGATAAACCCACATTTGTCTCAAACCTCTTTCTGTCACAGTGATGCACGCCACAGTTTACGAGTGTTTTAGCATCTCAGCTACATTCAAGGGCAGCGAGTCCATCTGTGAGGGCAAATACAGAACAGCTAAATCAGACCGTTCCTTCTTGGTGCTTCACTTTTTAGGTCAAAGCGTGATACAGCAATAAGTTGTGACAATATTTTTTATTTTAATTTTTTTTTAGCTTTGTGTATATTGTGTTTTAAAATGTCATTACATTAACTGGTCTTAATTCCCTGATAAATATATGGTAAATGGTGTAGGCCGCCTGTTTAACAACATAAAACAAAAGAACATATATGAATAAAGACAAGCTGCTTTAAAGGAGCAATATCATGTAAAATCTACTTTCTTGAGTTTTATATCATGTTATAATGTTATACTCTCAAAAAAAACATGCCCAAAGCCTTGCTCTGACTCATTCATGCATGTTTGAGAAATCCTACAGCGTTTTTAGGCAGCCATGTTGAGGAGCAAAACGACAGGTGGGGACCAGAAACGCCCCTGGGACGTGTCTTTAAGCCAAGCTTCCTCATGGCAGAGCGCCCCCCCTCCCCCTCCCCACACACCCCACCTATGACTCCTGTTGGCTGAAAGTGAAAGTGAAACTTAAACTGTCCGCTGAGCTCTCAACATTAGTTCTCACTCAGTGAAGCTCTTTTCAGATTAAAAATACCTTTGAGGGAATATATTTTCAGATGCCAAGAAAATTGCATCATGGCAGTCCACCCCCACACTGAAATGGGCGAGACAGAAGCGGAAGGTGGTTCTTAAAGAGACAGAGGCCAATTTCAAGGTGTTTAGAAGAGGAAGTGATGAGAAGATGAGTTTATTTTCTATTTAAACATAAAAACAGCATTTTATTAACAGCTAAATGTGACATAGATACTTGATTATGGTATAGTATTTAAATATATGCCTGAGAAACACATAATATTGCCCCTTTAAAAAGTCTATGGCTTCCCATCTCTCAGCATCCTTAATAAAAAAAATTAAATGTCTCAAACTAATTTAAAACAAATGTTGCGTATAACCTCTAAAGCTGAAATACATGTATGATTAAGACATACAATTAGTTTTTCCAAGACCCTCATCAGGCTGTGAGGCTATTATTGTTGTTGTTGTTGTTGTTGTTATTATTGTTGTTATTGTTAGATTTTCTGCTCCTTGCAGCTGGCCCCCATAAAGTCTACTCAGGAAAATTCAGCAGTTTAGAGCTGCAACAGGTGCAGGTTTTTCTTGCTGTTCCCATTAAAATGACTGTATGTCCCAGTAAGAACCTTATCAGGAGAAATGGACATTGGCTTCACCCTTAGTCTCATTCAAGCTGTTTTTCTTTCTCATATTTTTTTTTTTTTTTTGCTTCTGTTTTCCCACAGGATTTGTCACTGTGAAGGGGATGAGGAGAGTCCTCTGATCACGCCGTGCCACTGTACGGGCAGCCTGCGTTTCGTCCACCAGGCCTGTCTGCAGCAGTGGATAAAGAGCTCCGACACCCGCTGCTGTGAGCTCTGCAAATACGAGTTCATCATGGAGACGAAGCTCAAACCACTGCGCAAGGTAGGACTCTCCCGTTTCGTTTTGTTTTCCTTAAGTGGAGCGCTAAGGTAGCTCGCATTTATCTGCCCATTTCCCGTTTGTTAAAGTCCAGGTCCTGGAGCTKYTTKWTTTTTTTTTTTTTTTTTTTTTTTTTATGAGCTGATTTTGCGATGCTGAAAAAGCTTCAGCCTGAAACAGCCGCTAATCTGTCACACAGATAACGCAAACTGTGACTCCAAGCTTTGGAAGTGGTTTTCATGGGCAGAACGCAAAAAGGGAAAGGTGGGGGAATCGTTTTCAAATGGTTCAGATGAAGCCCACTTCCGTTAAAGGTTGTTATCAATCGCTGCGGCCCAGAGATAGCAGGACGTTAATTAAAATCCTTCCACCCCTCATTAGCTCCACAAAAAGCCTTAAAGAAACGCTCCTCTGTTAGTAGCCTCTGAATCTCATGGGTAGAATGAGAGATGGAGTTGGCTCCGGGTGTGAGGTGTCAGTCAAAGTTCAGTTTTACGTCACGCTGCGAAAAATCACTTTTTAATTAAACCGAACGAACAATTAGAACATTTCACTCTGGAAATTATGAGTAATGGATTTAGAAGCTGGGAGAAACTGTTTACAGGAATAATTTAATGTTGGCATTTGTGTTTAGTGTTTTAATTTTAATTTTTTTTTCTAATGCTGGGTCTTCTTCCAGCAGGATGAAATGTTTAGTGGGTGACTGACAAAGTGGCGCTGTGTTAACTGTGCTGCCTGGCAGGCAGCTGGGTGCAGCGTGCCACTTTTCTTCTGCATCCTATTAACCCTGCCAAGAAGTGCTGCGTAGCACTGGATCTTTATCGCAGCAGCTCAACGGCTTCCATCAAATATTTATCTCTTAGCTGCTCCCTAACACAGCTAAGAAAGCAGAACACTTTAAATGGTTTAAACACTAAGTGTTCAAGTCTTAAATTGTCTGGGTTTTTTTTATGCTTTCTGTTGTTGCAGTGGGAGAAACTACAGATGACGGCGAGCGAGAGGAGGAAGATCATGTGTTCGGTAACCTTCCATGTCATCGCCATCACCTGCGTGGTGTGGTCGCTCTACGTTCTTATCGACAGAACAGCGGAGGAAATCAGGCTAGGTCAGCACATTCTCTCCCACTTCAGCGACCAACGTTAAATCAGTGTCTGTTTTATACTGTTGAGTGTCATTTATTTAACCGCAAGCTTCCCCCAGCTTATTCACAGGCTGCATTTGAACAAACGATGTAAAATAAAGGGTTTTTTTAATGGTAAGAGGGAGTCAAAGCTTCTGTTGAGACTCCACTAATAGTTTTTGTAGGGATTTAAAAGTTTACGACAGGAACTATGATGGAAAGATTATGGTCAGGAAATTAACCTCACAAGGGCTGAAGTGTATCATCTTATCAAACACCATTGTATGTGGGCTACAGAAAATAACTTTGCGTAACATTGTGGTTATAACTAAACAGGCAAACACTTAAACACACATCTAAGGCTACGTTCAGACTGCAGGCAGATGCAACCCTGATCTGATGGGGTTTTTTTCATGACAAGCTAAACGTGGCTAATCCAACCCAAACCTTTTCATTATGTGGTACTGAAATATATCTAATGTTTTTCAAAGTGACTTCAGTCTGAACGCTCGAGTCGCATTTCATTCAACTTTTACATGAGTGAGGTGGGGGTGAAAGATCGATGGACATTAACCTGGAAAAAAAATCTTGTAGCTCCGCTCATCTTCACTTACAGAACAGTTGCTTCATCCGTTTTCTTTTAATATGTTATTTTTATTTATTTTTATTATTATTTTATTATTTAAAAGGGGACAGTGCARTTTAAAAAAACATATGACAATTCATAAGTTAAAGGGGCAATATCATGCAAAATCAACTGTTTTGAGTTTTATATCATGTTATAATGATGTTATACTCTCATAAAAACATGCCCAAAGCCTTGCTTAGACTCATTCATGTATGTTTGAGAAATCCTGCAGCATTTTTAGGAAGCCATGCTGAGGAGCAAAACGACAGGTGGGGACCAGAAACGCCTTTTGGTACCAGGAACGCCCCTGGGACGTGTCTTTAAGCCGAACTTCCTCATGGCAGAGCTCACCCACACACCCCGCCCCTAACTCCTGCAGGCTCTCGGCAGTAACAGAGCAAACTGAAAATGAAACTTACTGTCTGCTGCTCTCCACACTACTTCTCGCTCAGTGGAGCTCTTTTCAGATTCAAAATACCTTTTGAGGAAATGTATTTTCAGATGCCAAGTAAACTGCATCATAGCGCACGGGCGAAACAAACCACCCCCGCGCGTGACACACATTCAGCCATTGCAGAGTGATTGTTTAAAAAAATAATTCCAATTAATCTCAAAAATATCTTGAGATTAATTGCGATTAAAAATTTTAATCTATGCCCAGCACAAATATATATAT